CAGGGCCTCAGACATGACTGATGACCCTTCTCCTGCCCTTGGATCCTCTCCTGTCCCTCTTCAGCACAGACAGGACTGGCAGTGTGCCCGCCTCTCCAGCATGACTCAGCCCCCTGTGTCTCGGGTCCCACTCCTGCCTCCTCTGTGCACCGGTTCCCTGGGAGGACACCATGGCCGTCCTGCCCCAGCCCTGGGAGGCATGTCTGGACTCAGAGGCCCTGGGAATAGGGTGGTGCTGCAGTTCCCAGACCAGAGCTGTCCTGTGTGTGGTCCAGGCGTCCTGGGACTACAGCTTTTCTGCTCGCCAGAGCGCTGCTCCTTCCTGGATGCATCTATGCTGACCCAGCAGGGCTGGTACTGTGATCATCCCTGACCCTGGCATGTCACGAGTCCTCCCTAACATCAAATGGATGGTGTGTCTCAACCATGGCTGAGTGCTACAGGGACATGGCCCAACACTGACCCATCCAGACAACGTGGCCACTCTGGGATGCAGGGGCTGAGGCAGGTCCTGGCACATGTGTGCTCTGAGGTCCTGGATCCTCACCACATGAGCCCTCGACCTGAGCCTGGTACTTGGGGGAGAACAGGAAACCCTCTGAGACAGCTCACATCTCAGCCCAGCGAGCTCTTTCTAAGAAAATCGAGGTCCTTCAGGGATGGACAGGCGTAGAGACGCCAGTCCCACAGCAAGAAGTGGACAAGGAGAAACATGGGGGCAACCAGCAGTGGTGGGTGGGGCAGGGGGCAGTCCTGTCTTCAAGCTTCAATCAGAAGTGCAAAGGTTGGAATAACACTTCTTTCTCTGGGAGGAAAGGAGCCGTGGTGGTAAGTATTAACAGTAAGGATGGGGTGCAAGACGGGGGTTGGGGCACACACCACAGGCCCCCACAGAGTGAGCAGGGCTGGGGTCGGCCTACCGCTGTGCATCTGAGCTCTGCCACGTCCCCACTGTGGGCTTCAGGCAAGTCCCTGGACTCTCTGAGCCCCGGGCCCTTCTCTGAATGGTGGTTGAGGACAACTGCTCAGTGCCTCCTCCTCAGGGCCACTCTCTCAGGCATAGGCACTGCCATCGGGGAGATGCCTGGTTTCCTCATGAGCTCAGACCGCGTGCTAGGAAGTGGGGCAGTGATAAGGAAGGATATGAAAGCTGTTCTCACTTTTGAGAAAGACTCAGACACATGGTAGGTTGTAGCGCATTTTGCTCTTGGCACAGGCTAGGTGAGGCTCCCCCATCCTCATGTCCTCATGTTGGAGCAGGGCCTGGTGTGCTGACAGGGTGATGTGAGAACAGGAATGTGCCCGGCCCTCCCCCTCATGGGGAGAAAGCTTGCCCGGCTGCTTCCTCCAGAGGAGCCTTGTACAGCACCCACAGCTTGGGGTAAATGCAGGGTGGCCCTCACCCCAGAGAAGTGGGCAGAGCTGGTGTTAGAGCAGCAAACCCTCTGGGACTTGGGTAAACCACCTGTGCCAGGCCACGCCCCAGACAGGTGTATAGAGGCGGGTCTGGGTCCTGGCTGCTCTCTGGGTCGCCGGACATCACAGATACCACGCCCAGAGGTGCTACTTGGTGCCTGAGGTTCAAGGTCTTTAGAAGCTTCAGCACCATCTGAACTTCGCCTTGGAGACCCACTGTTGAGTTCAGAGCCAGTGTCCTGAACCAGCGGCATCAGGATCACAGGTCAAGCATGCAGAGTCTTGGGCCCCAGCGCAGACCCAGTAGGTCAGAGACTCTGGCATGCTCACAGGGGCTGTGGGGGTGGAGGGGGAGCCATGTGGGGAAAGAGGACAGGCCTTGGGGAGGCACTTACTTAGGGGATGAGAGGAAGGAGAGACATAGCAGAGACCACTCTGAACAGATGGATGAGTAGGAATGTCACCAACCTGGTGATGTCCCTGCAGGGAATCCAGCAGTGGTGGCTGCTGGGCCCGGGGAATGTGGCCTGACCCTCCGGATAGTAGACAGGGCCAAAGATGGAAGCAGGAGGGTGAGGAGTGGGGAGCCACATGCCCTTTCTCTGCCCTGAGCTGGCATTGCACTCTGTGGGCTGAGTCAGTGGTGAGACGGGCGTGGGGAGGTCACTGCAGAACAAGACCTGGACAGGGACAGCAGCTCACAGAGGCCACCCAGGAGCCAGGCTCCCCGCTTCCTGCTCAGCCAGTCTCAGCAGTGGCTGTTGCACCTCCCCAAGAAGTGGGCGGGAAGAAGGTTTTCCGGAGAAAAGTCCTGTTGAAATTTTCTATGGGGCTGACAGTTTTGGGTTTGCTTTAAAACATAGTTTGCTGGCAAAACTGACTTTTATATGGGCTGGGTCTCGGGCTCTGCAGATTGAAAAGTTGCAGCATGAGCTCGAGGGTGAAAAGCAGACCATCAATGATCTCCAGAGCTTCAGTGAGGAGCTATTCGAAGAAAAAGAAGAGATGCGCTCTGACATGCAGATGCTGAGAGCGGACAGCATGAGGCAGGTAGGCCCTCCAGAGCCAGTTCCTGCCCTGGAAGCCCTGCCCACAAGAGGAATAGTCCAGGGTCCTGGCCGTGTCCTGGCCATTGATTAGTAGGGATACGTGGGTTACCAGTTTTCTCGCTCAGCTGTAGCTCAGGCCAGCAATTCTGAACCACAGTTGGGGTTTGGGGACAGATTTCACCTCCCAGGGACACTGGTGATTTGTGTTTGATTGTCATGACTTGGGGGAGGAGAGAGGAGGTGATCCTGGTGGTGGTGGGTAGAGACCAGGGATGCTGCTCAGTGTCCTGCAGCACACAGGCAGCCCCGCAGGACAAAGGATGGTCATGCTCCAAATGTCCAGCATCATGCTGAGGACCTGGCAAACCCCAGGGTTGATTTTCCTCAACTACAGTAAGTCCCAGGGTATGCAGTCCAGTGCTGGGGCAGTGGCTCAGTGACACCACCCAGGAGCCAGGCTGGTCTCTTCCTGCTCGACCAGTCTTGGCAGTGGCTGTTGTACCTTCCAAAAAATGGACCGGAAGAAAGTGGAGAGTGAAGGGGCAAAGGGAAGGCCTCCCCATCTCTTTGGCCAAGCTCAACACATGACTACCCCGAGCTGCAAGGGAGGCTGGGTGTCAAGTACTTGTGTTTTGAGCATGTCTAGTAGAGCAAAAACAAGGGGTTGGGATGGTGCTGTGTGTAGTGGAAAGACAGGCAGGGCCCCACCCTGATGTGGCTCACAGTGCAGAAGGCAGAATGACAGGGGACTTCAGATGTGTACTCTTGGGGGAATAAACTTAGGCCCAAAGTCCTGCGAGGTGCAGGGCATTTGGAATCACGGTGCAGCTTCTCTGAGGGGCTGGCTCTCATGCTGATCCCGGGAGGATGACAAGGGGCCAGTGAGGCTGCAGGAGGGGTGAGGATGGTGAGTCCTGAAGGTGGAGGGAAGATCACCTGCGGTGTCTGCACGGGCAGAGAGCTTCCTGAAGACCAGGACAGAAAGCACCAAGGGAGTCCTTTCATTGTTTTGTTTTATTGTCACTTCTTTCATCCTCACCCAAGAATACTGTTCCATTGATTTATTGGACAGAGTGGGAGAGAGGGAGGGAAGGAGAGAGAAAGAGAGAAAAACATTGATGTGAGAGAAACACAATGACTGGTTGCCTCCCTCACAGCCCTGACTAGGGCTGGGGATCAAACCTGCAACCCAGGTACATGCCCTTGATCTGGAGTAGAATCTGCAACTCTTCAGTTCGTGGGCTCATGCTCTCACACTGAGCCTAACCAGCCAGGGCACTTTCATTGTTTAAGTAAGAGGAGATGTGGTTTGTTTCTAGATCATCCCGGCTGCTATGAATGTATTTGGACTTGAACTGGGTCTCCTTGTGTCTATATCAGGCCTCTGGGAATCATCAGGACTTCTGCTGGGCACCCAGTGGCACACTCTTTCCAGACCTGCACTTTAGTCTCCCAGTTCTTACCCAAATCACTGAAATGCATTTGTGCAGCCGCCTATGTCGTTTCCATTATGTTTTCCTGCAGATCCAGGTTCTTGAAAAAGAAAAAGACCTTCTCAATCAATCAATGCTGTTGCTGCAGGTGGCATCACTGGGCGGCAGTGAGGCCTACACAAAGGACATTGAGGAAGAGAACAAACTCCTCCAGCTGACAGTTACAGACACCAGCCGCAAACTGAGCAAGCTGGAGTTTGAGAAGCAGAGCCTGCAGCGGGACATGGAGCAGATGCAGGAGAGGGTGAAACAAGTAGAGGAGCTGGAGAAGAAGCTGCACTGCGGCTGGAGAAGGAGAACAAGAAGCTGGCCCAGGAGTTCTCCTCCCTGACAATGACGACCACCGAGAATATGGATGCTCTGGAGCGTGAGAACCAGGACCTCAGGCTGAAGAACCAGGAGCTGTCCAAGTCTGTGGACACCCTGCAGATCATGTCAGTGCAGCTCGAGGGGCTGGAGCAGGACAACCTAAAGCTGCGCAGGATGGTGAAGACCATGAGCATCACAAGGGCCAATATGGCTCAGATTGAGATGCAGAACCAGGAGCTTGAGCAGGAGGAGGAGGACCTGAAGGCCCTGAGCAGGAAGTGGGAGAGCCTGGAGCTCAGCCCCCAGAGCGTGAGTGCTGAGAATATGCAGCTGCGGCAGACTCTGGACAGCAGCAGCCAAAAGGCACAGGCCCTGCAGCAAGAGCTCCGGGAGCTGCAGGCAGAAAACCTGGCCCAGCAACAGGACCTGGAGGCCCAGCAGCTGGCCAACAAGCAGCTAGAGTGCTCCGAGGACAACAAGGCCCTGGCGCTGGAGGTGGCCTGGCTGGAGAAAGACAAGAAGCTGCTGGAAGAGGCGGGGAAGCAGCCACAGCAGCAGGTGGAGCTGGAGGATGCGATCCTGGATGATAGAGCCGCCAAGCTGTCCATAGCTCTGGACCAGGAGATGGCGCACTGCAAGGATGTGGCCACCGAGCTTAAGGAGCTGGAGAAGAACAACAGACACTTCACCAAGGAAGTCACCACTCACATGAAGAGGCTGAGGACCCTGAGAGTGGTGAGCTGGGTGCAGGCAACCCCCCACTTACCGAGGAAAATGGTAGGGTTGATGTCTTTGTCCAGAGCGGCAGGGGCGTGCTGTAGGGGGTGCTCTGAAATAGAAGTGGGACTGTGTGTCCTCCTGAAATGTTTTTCCTGGTTCTAAACAGGGTACTGCTGGAAGGTACGAAGAACTAAGTGATAGCCAGCTGTTCACTTACTGCCCAGAGACAACCACTGCCATGCCTGCATGTCCCCACACACACACACACACACACACACACACACACACACGACACCCTCCTCTCTGCATCTTGACCCTATGTGTTTTGTAGTTATTGCACCTTTTCTCATTACATTACATAGGCTTTAAGCCATGTAATCATGACCCATAATTTTTAATGGGTGACTGATATTAATTCTATAGACTTACTGTAATTCTTTTTTTGGCATTTAGGTTGTTTCCAATTTTTTTACCATTTTAAATAATGTTGGACATCCTTGCACATGTGTATCTTTATTCTTAGGATCATCCCTAGAAGTGTAATTATGGGACAAAAGGGTATGAACGTCTTGCAGTTTCTAGATAAAAGACGTGTTCCGTGTTTCACTGGGACTTCTGCCTGGGCCATCAGGGCATTTCTGCAGCACGTCCGAGGGAACAGCTGCTCTAGTGAATGATTCATCTGAACAGTCCCACACAGAAGTTGAGCCTCAGGTGTGCAGGAGCTCAGTGTGGCTGCTCCCAGGTGGCCTTCGTACAGGGACTCAGGCAGCTGGTTTCTTCCACCCAGTGGCTTGGCCATGCCCCAGTGGAGCCCTCTTTGGGCTCTTTGGCATGTGGACAGCAGGTGAGAGAGAGAATGAGTGAGAAAAGCCACATTTCACAGGGCAGAACTCAGTGCCACCTCTGATCTTAGCCACGAGGGAGGCGGGAAGTGTGTTCCAGCTGTGCACAGAGGCAGAAGAGGACAGAGATGAGGGGAACACAGGGCTCCATGTCCACCAGAGGACAGGCAGTGCAGGCAGAGGCGTGTGCTGTGGACCCGCAGTCCCCGCCTCTGTAGGCCTGGGGCAGTGTGTGCTGCAGTGACAGACAACCCCAGGGTCGCAGTGGATGACCACATCACGGCTGACTTCTCACCCACCAGAGTCCAGGTGACTCTCTTGGGAGCCTGTCATCTGGACTGTGACCCAGCTGCTTTGATCTTAGGGCTCCACCATCTCAACACAAGGTTTGGGCAGTTGCCATGACAGGGGAAAGGCCGCTGGAAGGTCACACAGCAGCTCTCATGAGCGGCAGCTGGGAAGTGACACATCCCATCTCCACTCCCAGCCCACAGGCTAGACCTGGTCCGCTTGGCTGTACCCAACCCCAGGGTGGCTGGGATCTGCAGGTGGCATGTCTGGTGAGCACCGTTCTCTGTCCCAGTGCAAACAGCTGGACACCAGGCAGAGCATGGGAGCCGCCGGATGCAGACCCACAAAGAGGCGCGGGAGTGGAGGTGGACAGGCTGAGTCCACCAGCTCAATGAGAGCAGCACCCACTTGGACAACTAAACAAAATCAGGATTTAAAAAGGAATCCTTCTCCTTTTTATCCTTTTTGTTCCAAATTCTTTGCAACATACATTTAGTTATGTTACTTGCTTGAAAAGGAAAATTTTGAACCTACTACTTAAAGGTCAGCAGAACAGTACTTCCAACCCATGTATCATGTGTTTGGAGCTCACTGGATCCATCCTGGCACACGGTTGCATGGCCTGGTCATTGGCACAGGGCTGGGAGAGCGTGGTCACCCCTTCTCCTTGGAAGATGTCCTTGAGGTTCACCTGTCCTCATGGAAACGCCTGCCCAGCCCTCACGACACCTGATTTAGCCATAACTTGGGAAGACAGTTGTTCATCCTTGAGAAGGGCCTGTGCCCAGCCCTCCCTGCCATTTCTGCTGGACACCGGGCCCACATTTATTCCCACCCCGTCCCTGCAGGACCTGGTGCTGGAGAAGGTGAAGAGCGAGCAGCTGAACACTAAGCTGGACAAACTGAGCCAGGAGTTGGAGACGAGGGGCCGCCGCCAGGAGCTGCCGCTGCAGGACAATAGCAGCCACAGCAACGCGTGAGCACCCCTCCCCACGGGGTCTGCAGGCTTGATGCTCTCACCCACGTCCCATGTGTGCCTTGTTCCCTGGTGCAGGAGGCTGGCAGGGTGACTGGGTGGCCACCCCGGGCTCCTGTCCCCCCTTCATTCTGGCCCTTTGTGTTTTCTTTGGACCCACTGTTCCACAGTGAGAAGTAAATCCAGTCACCCTCACGGCTGTGGAGTTTATGCAGCCAAGACTGAGGGGCAGGAGAGTCCCCAAGGGAGCATGGCCTGCATGCAAATCCCAGCGCAGGGAAACCACCTGTCACCACTGGGGTTCCTGTTCCCTTGGGCATTCCTACTCTGCTTCTTTTTCTCTCCAATCCAAGCACAGGATGGGGAGGTTCACCACAGCTTTGGACTGACAGTGATGTTCCTTCCCTAGCTTCCCAGGCCTTTCTTTCCCGGTCAAAGTCTAGACTCCTTTTCTCTTTTCTGAAATTTGGAAACCTTTTGGATACATAGAAATATACACAATAGTATAGTGAAAGCCCGTGTTTCATCCCAGGCGTCTGCACTTATCCACACTCTGCCGTTCCCATTGCACCTGTACCTCCTACTGTCCATGCAGACTCCTTTTTTAAAGGTAAAGTTGATGTACATTGAAATGCAGAAATCTTTTATTTTTCTTTTTCATTCATTTATTTAGTTTTATTACAGATGTTTCTCCTTTTGACCCCATTGACACCTCCTCCCCGCTTCAGTACCCCCCACCACCACCTTCACAGTACTATAGTCTGTGTGCATGGGCTATGCATACATGCATGTACGTTCTTTGGTTTATCTCTTTGTGCCCTCCCACCCCCTCGTCGTCAGAGGTTTGTCAGTCTGTTCTACTTCCATGTCTCTGGATCTATTTTGTTCATCAGCTTATTTTGTTTATTATACTCCACAAATAAGTGAGATCTTGTGGTATTTGAAATGTATAAATCTTAACTTTGCGCTCTTGACAAACTAGGCTTTGTGTGCATGTTGTCAGCCAACATGTCCTGAGCTCCTGCCCTGGCAGATTCCTGATGGCTCCAGGTTCCTGGGCAGGAGCAGCAGGATCCAGAGCCTGGGGAGGTGTGATGTGCACGAGACTCCAATGCAGGGCAGGGAGGAAGAGATACATCTAAAGAGAGGCTCCCCAACACTTGGAGGAGCACAGGAGAAGCTGTTGTCCACTTCCTGTGCTTGTGAGATGTCCCTGCTGACAGTATTTCCTTCACCCTACCTTAGGAACATGCTGAGCAAACACTGGGTCTTTAGCAGGAGCAGATGATTTGCAGGGAGTTTCCATCACAGGGATTTAGGGAGGTCGTTGAGCCAACAAAGCCTGGTGAGAGAATCTGATGATGCCGTGGGATCGGGGTGATGACCTTCACTGATTCATTCACCCAGTGCTTCCGAGGGACTGTCCAGAGCCTTCCATCCCCCTTATTCACCCAGATCCCCATCTTTGAGGGGTGCTGAGACATCTGCTCCTATTAGACTCTCTGTTCCTTCCAGCCAAAGCGAGCATTCTCTGCCTGTTGGCATTTCCATCTCTTCCTCCTCCCGCACCCATCCTGTATTCAGGTGACCTTGGAGAGTCATCTACCGTCCACCTGGCACTGGATCAAGATGTGGGGGGAAGGCACCCAACTCACTAATGATGTGGAGCCCAAAGTGTTCACACACCGTGAAACTAGCCTGGTGCCCGCTCTCCCCAGGCACTTACAGGTCTTATCTGTAATGTCGTATTCTCTGTATTATAAGTGTCATGATATTTGTCATGCCTGTCCGGGTGGGGAGGGCTTGTGCAGGTGGAATCTCACTGGCTCTGAGGACCAGTTCATTGTTTTGTCTGCAGCTCCATGCTCCATAGAACAGGCAGACCTATAGTGTTTCTCTGTGGTGTCTTCTGGTTGAACAGATAGCCCGAGGCCCCTTGGTCTGTCTGCAACAGGGCTGCAGGTTTGGAGGTGTAAGAGCTGGGACACAGGGATGGGGGCTCACTATCCATTTAATGTGACACTCAGACACTCACTCGTTCCCTAACCCTTTACTGAGTGTCAGCCTCCTGCCAGGGACTCCGTGGGAGGGAGACCCACACAGTGTCTGCCCTGCATCTGGGCGTCGCACCTGGTTGGATCCGTGTGCTTTTCCAAGACACAAGAGGAAAGCAGCAGTCAGGGACCCTAATGGTCCATGGCCCTAGTTTGTGAAATCTGGATGAGAATTTCCAGAATTATTAGCCTGGATGAGAAAGATGGCTGCCCTGGTGCCAGGCAGAGCCCCACCCCCAGGTTCCAAGTTGATGCCCCAGGGCTAAAGGCCACAAGAATGTTTGTCCTCAAACAGCCAACTGAGTAGGTTTTTGAGTGTGAGTCCCCACAAGTCTTGGCTCCAGACAGATGGTACAAGGACACCTGAAGGGGGTGGGTGGGGTGGGTGGGGTGGGTGGAGGGCTGCAGACACAGGCTGGAAACCCTGGACTGCTGGCTGGTCTCTGTCAGACTCTTTGAGTGTGGAAAACTCAGGAAGGGCCCTGGAAAGGGATTTGCTTGAAATGGGGAAGATTAAAAGGTGATGACTCAGGTACCTTGACCTTGGGAAAGCTCCCAAGTCAGCCCTGAACACAGAAGGGTCCAGCAGGCGGGAAGACAACCTGGGGCTGGTCAGAGACTCCCTCTGTGCTCTGCCCTGTGAAGATTGAGACAGGAAGAATACAAAAGCCCAGCCCTGGCTGGGTGGCTCCGTTGGTGAGAGCGCTGTCCCCATACACCATGGTTGAGGGTTGATCCTGGTTAGGGCACATCAACCAATAAATGGATAAATAAGTGGAAAAACAACTCAATGTTTCTCTCTCTCTCCCTCCTTTCATCTCTCTCTCTAAAATCAATAAATAAAAATAAACAAGATTTTTTTAAAAGAAAATAAAATCGCAAGTTGAGGGGGAAGTTGCAGGGTAGGGTAAGGGCTCTGTGGGGTGTTTTGAGGAGTAGGCTGTGTGCATATATGTGCATGCATGTGTGCATGTGTGTACATGAGTGTGTGCAGCTTGTCCCTGGCAGCTGCTTGGGCCCCACCAGGCAAGCCTCTGACCCCCCACATGGCCTGACTCAGAACAGGGGCCTCATGCTCCCAAGCTGAGGGAGAGGGCTACCCAGTCCTCCGTGTGGGGGAGCAGCCGTCATGTGTGGTGGAGTCAGCAGTATATTTTGTGGTTTCTGTTAGAAGGGCGTGGGGTTCAGAAAGCAGTCATGTTGTCCCCAGCAAGCTAACAGAGGAAGCTGCTTTCACAGGGACTGGATGGGCCCCTGGAGACAAGTCAAGTGGGAGGAGGACTCAGATTCAGGACAGGTGGAGAACCCCTCCCCCCAGAGCTGGCCCAACCTTTATCCCAGCTGCCATTCTCCCTCTTGTCTGCTGTGCAGCCCTGCTCCCTGCCAGTCCCCTCAGCTCTGCAGTCTGTGGGCTGTGTGTTCCTAGTGGGTGTGTTTCCCTCCAACAGGCACAAGGACGTGCTGAAGCCTCAGGTGGAGCAGGGGGAGATGGAGACGGTCTTGAACACTGAGTGTGGGGCTCAGCAGCAGGAGCAGAGAACAGATGCCATTGCCGAGAGTGAAAACCAGAGGCTGCGGGATGAGCTAGACAGGTAACCACCACCGCCCCCAGGCAGCAGCATGTGCTGGGATTTCATTCAGACCAAGTCATTTATCACCTGCAGAGCTAAGCTCAAGTGAGTCCCCTGGTAACAGTGTATTTTTACAAAGCCTGTCATGGTAACACCTGCTGGTACTTCGGTAAAAGGGACTCCAGTTAGCTGCTGGGATGGAAACACTAGTGTCACCTGGGGCAGCACATTGTCTGCATTTGGGTAACCTCACCTCCCACACCTGTGATGGGGATTGTATCAGGGAAGGGCACCTTCTGCCTCTAACACCAGTGACCCCGTGAAGGTGATACAGGCCATTCTCATCATCCATGCATTCCCTATTTGCGAGCTCACCTACTTTCTGAGTATACTTGTAAACCCAGTGGTACCTGTGGCCCTTCATGGACGTGCCGAGTGTGAGATACTGGAGGAACTGATGTGCACGTTTGCAGCTGAGGATGAACACATCCTTTGACTCCTGCCTAGTTTCAGCACTCCTACTGCAAACCAGCGTGTTCTCATGGATAATTAGTACCATGGTTTGCTTTCTAAATGTGTGCTTTTGGTGGCAGTTTTGCTGTTTGAAATGGCCACTCAATGGAGGGCTGAAGTATGGTCCACTGTTTCCAGGGCAGGGGTGCACTGGACCTCACTGGGATACAAGTGCAGTCAATGAGGTTCATTGAGGCACGAGCTGTGGTGCTGTTGGCTTTGAGGATGTTGCATATGGTGTCTTGATGTCTTCATCAGTTGACAGAAATGCAGCCAGAGACTCACAGGAACCTTTGGGAAGAGTTTCAGTGTACACAAAATTGTTGTTCACGGTGACTTGATAGAACATCACACCATGAGTAATGAGAATTGACCAAGCCCTTATTATCCTTTTAAAAAATAAATAAATAACAGATGAGGAAACGCACAGAGATTAAATAACTTGTTCAAGTCAGTCTCCTAGTTGGTGGCACAGTCAGGATTGACTCCAGGTCTGGTCTTAACCCAAAGGCATGATCAGGAAGCCGAGTCCTTCCACAGCCTTGTTTTTGTTGCTGTTAATATATTTTTCTATTGAGTTTTAGACAGAGTGGAAGGGAAGGAGAGAGAGAGAGAGAGAGAGAGAGAGAGAGAGAGGTGAGAGAGACACATTGATTGGTTGCCTCCCACAGGACTCCAACCAGGGCCAGGGATTGATTGAACCTGCAACCCAGGTTCCTGCCCTTGACAAGCAATCAAATCCAAGACTCTTCAGTCCAAGGGACCAGTGCTCTAACCACTGAGCCAAACTGACCCTGAGGCCCACAGCCTTAACATGTAGTGGGGGCTACTCACTGCGGTGCCCCCAGTGGCCAGGAGGAGAAGCACGTGGGGAAGGAACCTCAGCCACAGACCAGACTGACCCAGAGAGCTCACCCTGAAGGCTGTCAGCCAGGAAGCAGGCCCAGGGCTGCCAGGTCACCTTTTGTTTATGCTTTTTTCTTGCGAGAAGCTAGATATCTGAATGTTAAAGTGAAACTTTAAATTTTTTCAGTGTTGACAAACTAATTAATTTTTTAAAAACATGTGTGGGCCAAACAGAACACATCTGTGTTCAAATTGAGACCACGAGCCTCTTGTAATTTCAGCTTTTTGATATAAATCTTGCCCCAGGACACCCAGTTGGTAATGATACTGATGATAATAATTTCAGTGTATTTACATAATACCACAATAAATATTTTATTTATTTCAGGATTTAAAATTAGAAAGGGGCTTGGAATCAGAGAGAGGAGCTGGGCATAAACATAGAGTTTTAGAACAAAACTATTTTGATTCAATGTTTTTTATAAGTGTTTTAATAGAAGAACTATTTTATCCAAGCAGGCAGATATGCCAAAGACTTAAATAGAAAAGATTTTAACACTGAGGCTTTGTTGAAGCAGTGTTTGAGCCCGCCTGTTCTGTCTCACCCAGCCCAAAGTGGGGTGCCTGGGGGAGCCTCATAGAACCCCAATGGACACAGTTTGGAAACTGCTGGTTTTGTTCAACCCCTCATTTACACATAAGAAAAACAAAGGCCCAGAGGTTGAGGGTTTGATTAAGGTTGCACAGCTGGGAAAGAGCCTGGCATTGCTCCTCAGCCCTGACCCAATGGCTCTGCACCCCCAGGGCCAATTTCCTGCACCATCTGTGGAAGGGGGACCGCGAGGAGCTGAACACCGACATCAGGAAGTTGGAAAACTCACTGCACTACTCGCAGCTGCAGCTGTGCCACCTGCAGGCCCAGTTCAACCAGCTGAAGGAGCAGCACCAGAGCTTGGACAATCACAGTGAGGTGAGGACTGGGGCTTCTGGGCCTGGGGACACCGGGCCGTGTTCCCTGGGATGACAGCCTTAGGCTCACCCAGGTGTGATAGGTCCTCATTGGCATCTGTGCTCTAAGACTGTGTGAAGGTCACACTGAGGCACAGAGGAAGCCAGAGGCATTCAAAGTGGCTGGTAGGAATGTGTTAGAAGACACCTTTCATTGGACCTGTGCTTCTTGCAAGGTCGGGCGGTGCATGGACACAGCAGAGTCCTGTTTTATTTCCATCCTCTCGGCTGGGCACTTTGCTCTGTGCTTACCTGTGTCAACCATTTAATTCTCACAATGATCATGTGAGCTGGGGTTCCCATCCTTGTCTCTCTAAACTAGTAGATTGGAATCCAGTTTGTCTGAAGCCAAAGCTTGAGACATTTCTGCTACACCAACCACGGTGATATTCTAGAGCAGGGATTGGCTAACCTCAGCTCGAAATTCAGATACAGCCCTTGCCTGTTTTTATACGTCTGTGAACCAAGAATAGCATTTAGAGGTTGTAATGCTTGGGAAAATTAAGAGAAGAATAATATTTGGTGGCAAATGAATATGATAGAAATTAATGTGTTAGAGTCCACGAGTAGAGTTTTTGTGTGTTTTTTAACACAGCCACACCCATGCATGTACATTTTATCTGTGGCTACTTCCTGCTGTAATAACAGAGTTGGACAGTTGCAACAGAGACCACCATCCTGCCTGGAATCCTAGACTACCTACTATCTGGCTCTTTACAGAGGCAGTGCGCCACGCTTTTCTGGAGCAGGGATGTCTAATGGGAATGCAATGCAGGCCCCTCATGTAATACAAACTTTCTAGTAGCCACATTAAAAAAGTAAAAGGAAAGGGGTGAGATTAATTTTAATCATGTATTTTATTTAGCCATTATATCTAGAACATCACATATAACCCCAAAAGCGTATTGATAAGAGAGTTTACATTATTTATTCTTTATTGATTTGACAGAGAGAGAGAGAAATCAATAAGAGAGAACATCGACTGGTTGCCTCCTGCATGTCCCCCACTGGGAATTTGACCCACAACCTAGCATGTGCCCTGACCAGAAATCCAACCTGTGACCTCTAGTGCATGGGTTGACGCTCAACCGCTGAGCCACACTGGCCAGGTTACATAAATGTTTTTTAGTTGTTACATGAATCCACAGGAACTGTTCCACATTGGGCACTACGGCACCTGTCAGGCAGGACAGGCTGCATTTTCAGAGTTCAGCAGCCACATGTGGCCTTTTTCTTCTTCTGGAAGTAGATTCCCAGCAGTGGATTCACTGAGACGCATGGTGTTTGATACATTGTTGATCTGTGTTTTAGCTGCTGTCTCATCTCAAGGAGAATTTGGAGAAAGAAAATCATCACCTCATGGGCCAGCTCAATATGTTGAACCAGCAGAACCAAGAGCTTCTAGAGCAAAACATGAAGAGCAAGGAGCAGTACTATGAGGAACAGAAGCAATCCATGTAAGGGGTGTGGCTGGGGACACCTGTGGACAAAGAGGTCCTGGTTCCCAGTTCCCAGCCTAGAGTGTGACATTCTGGGTGTCCCGAGGGCAAGGGGACAGACTGTCTTACCAGCTCCTCCTTCTCTTGTTTTCCCTGGAATGGTTCTAGATTTTTTCAAGTAGGGGTGGTACATTTTGTTTGCTTTTCAAAGACACTGTTTCCTGCCAGATGCTTCTTAATCTGCTTTTGGAGTTAAGCTCACTTTAGAAGATACAACAGTGGTAAAGAGAAAGAATTCAAAGTGAAGGCTGAGCCTTTTCTGTCTCTGTTTGTTTTCCTCTGAATGGGCTGGACAGTGCACTGTTGGTAGACCGTGGCTGTCCTCCCTCTGCTGGTGTTTAGTCCTCCTGGCTTTGGTGAAGGCCTGCGAGGTGCACAGAGCTGCTTCCCTCGTCACCAGCTACTAGTAGGGATGATGGAATGTGAGCGGAGCTCTGTGCACACAAGACAGATGTTGAGGAGCTCCATGGAGGCGCAGAAGGAAGCGTGGCAATGGGAGTTAGAGGTCAGCTGCTGACAGCTGGGGTGAAGGCTGGCCAGTGGCGAAGGACCCTAAAGAGAAAGCATGGCCTAGTCTGGGATCGGGGAAGGGGCAGGGAGCTTCAGGAGGGAAGGATGGGGAAGAAGGGCTGAGCCCTGGAAGGCTGCCATACCCATGGCCAGCTATAGAGTGAGACTCACTGGGAAGAGAGTGTTTAAGGGATGCTGGTCTATGGGGCCTAGGAAGCTGCCAGAAATGAGGTCAGGAGGAAGAGCCTTGGTGCTGAAAACTGTGGTTTGGAAGACAAGTAATCTGAAATGCATTGTGGGCCTAGGGTGGTCTTCACCCCTCCGTGCTGTGCTGATGGGACTGTCCTTCCTGTGATCAGGAATGGCTGGCCAGTGTGGGACGGAGGGAGACTGTGCCAACTCCCAGGGTAATGATGCTCCTTCACTGTTCTCCCAGCTTCCTCTGCTCATGGACAGGGGGCTGGACACCCACCAAAGGGCAGTTTACATAAAAAACCACACTGTAGTTTTGGTGTAGAAATGACTGTTGCCTGACGTTGGCCCTCTATAATCCAGCTGATAAAAATTACCAGCAGTGATTGGGCAGGTACAAACTAGAAGAGGAGGAGCCTGGTACCCAGGGGGATAATTTGTGATTTGATGATAGTTTTGCATTAGAGAGTGTGTGCAGGAGACCAGTGTGTGGGCAAGATTCCTGAACCTGCTCTGAGTTGAGCACCTTCCCCAGTCCAGCCGTGCCCCAGGGGGAAGGGTGGGGTGCCTGCCCTCTATGAGTGTGTGCAGCTTCAGGGGTGCCAAACCCACATAGAAAAGTGCTCTAGCAAAAGGCCAAGAACACAGCTGTGGGAACAGAAAAACACAGACCAGATCTCAAACCAGGGCTCTGGGAACACAGCAGGGTCGGTGGTCAGGGGCCCTGTGGTTCAGGATCTGTCACTTTTCATGAGGTGCTCACTTCACCATGAACTCTCAGGAAAGCCCTTGGGTCCAGAGGCCTTCCTTGGCCGCACAGGGCAGCATCCCTTAAACACTCACCTCCCAGTGATCTGACTCATTGCCTGGGCAGGGGCATGGCAGCCTTCCAGGGCTGAGCCCAGCTTCCTCCAGCCTCCCTCCTGGTGCTCCCTGCACCTCCCAGTACCCAGACCAGGCCATGCTCCTGCTTCAGGTCCCTCCCCACACTAGCCAGCCTTCTCCCCATCATGTCAGCAAGGAAACCAGGGGTCCCAGCTGTTGAGACAGGAACAGGACAGCAGCCGGGCCCAGTGGGAAGCATTGTGTAGAGAGCCCCGCATGCACCACTCTGGGACACGACCACACAAGCGCATGTGTGTGTTTCAGGAACTCCCAGGGAGCAGGGGTGCCCTCTGGCAGCCCAAGGTTCAAGAGGTGTCTCTTGGGTCCTTTCTGTGTTTTTGACAATGGGAACCCATTTCCAACATTTATTAATCGGGAGATTTTGCTTCACACCCTGGGTTTCTGGATTCTTTGAAAAGAGCAATCAGCTCTCCCCCGTCTGCAGCAGCTGTTCGCAGGTCCTGCATTCAGTCCCACCTGCTCCCTGGCTCAGCAGCCACAGTCTCCACCAGTCCCGCTGGTCTTTCTAGGCCCGCTTTGCTCCCTGTCTTCTCTGTCTGGCCCCAGAAGTCCTTGACTTTGCTTCCATGGCAGTGTTACTGGAAACCCGACCCTGGAAGGGGTCGAGGTCAGAGGTCTGACTTGACTAAACTGACTTTTTTATCTTGATGCCCATCTAACTCACTGAGGGCAGACCTCTCCCCACCACTACCTGTCATGACTCTGTGCCCACAGGATCTAGCCTACCCTGCGTCTGACCCCGAGTGAACAATGTCCTGAATTGACCAGGCCAGAAAGTCCTTGGGGTTTCTGAGCTTAAGTTGTAGATGGTTCAGGGTTTGCTCTCCTGAGATCAGGTACAGCCCAGTCCTAGGTGCCTACACAGTTCTCCTCAAGATGTTAGGGTTCCTGGACCCATGTCGGATGCTTCCATTCACATTTTCCCAACTCGGCCATCATGATGGTCACGAGCACTGTGATGTCTGAGTCCCAGAAAAGTACCAGCCCTTCTGGGCCAGGTCCCAGGCTGGGCTGATGAGTAAATATGTGTGTTTTATTTAAAACCTGACTGGATTTGCTTTCTCCTCTGTCTGCAGAGAACAATTAAATGCCTTACAAAGGAATAGAAAGAAACTGGAAGAAAAAGCAAGGGAACACAATGAGGCATGTGATCCTGCTTTAAAGAAGTGAGTTGATTTAAGCTTCAGTAACTTCAGCAGAAGGGAGAGTGTGCTTTTTCTCGAGCAGTGGAAAGCTGTAGTCTCTACAGCAGTGACCAGTGTGCTGGGCCTGGTCCTCCCCTGTGTGCGGGTCATCTGTGTGCAGGTCCCTCCCGGCACAGACACAATTGAGAGAGTCTTTCAGTCTCACCCTATGTGCTCAGTGTCATCCCAAGAGGGATGCAAATGTCCAGGAGCCAGGAGTCCAGTTAAGGGGTGCAGAGTCTGTGGTTTTGGAGCCACTCAAGCAAGAGCATCAGGTTTTGTCTCAACATTTCAGGACATAGGAAACCATGTTTCTCTTTGGGAAAGGAAACTTGGGTCAGACACCTGGACCACCACCCATGGTCTTCAAGCATAGAACTTACCTTAATTACTTCAGGTTCACTGGACCCCTGGGTGGTTTCAGAAACACTTTCCCTTCTTCAGGGAGCAGAGGCCTTGGTTGTGGGCCAGCTTGGTGCTGGAGACTGGCCGCCTCTGTCCATCTGGGCTTCCCCTGGTCCCAGGCCTGAGCCCAGGAGCTGGCCCTTGAGATTGGTCTGTCCCAGTGCAGCCTTGAAGTCAAATCACCATGAATCCTGTGGGGCCTCTCTGTTGAAATCACAGCCTGTCAGAACCCCTCCCCAGCAGAGGAGTTGAGAACAGAACTTCTCAGCAGAGCAGTTGAGGCCCCGATGAGGAATGGGCTGATCTGTGTGAGCACAGTGCTGTTTGGTGGCAGAGCCAGGACTGGAACCCAGGTGTGGTTCTTGTTAGGTTAGGATGCCCCC